TGCAGAGACACGGTACCTACCCTTAGAGAAGTTGGCTTACGCACTACTCATCGCCTCAAGGAAGCTATAGCATTACTTTTAGGGTCACACCATCAATGTCCTCACTGAATTCCCCCTTAGATCTGTCTTTAGCCGAGCCGATTTCTACCGCCGAACAGCAAAATAGGCGGTTGAGCTTAGTGAGTTTGACATTCGGTATCAACCCAAGACAGCAATCAAGGCCCAGGTCTTGGCGGATTTTGTCGCCGAATTCGCTCCCATCCAGAGCACCAAACATCAAACTCCAGCTCAGTACAGGTGCCACGCACCACCGAACTAGGAAAGGAATGCGCTTCAGAAGCATGGAAACTCTTCATTGGTAACATCCAGCAGCTCTACGCTGACGAATCATCCAATAACCGAGGCTCAGGGGTAGAGGTATTACTTATATCCCCAGAAGGATTTGTCAGGGAGCAAGCTCTCAAGCTTGGTTAAAAGGCCTCTAACAATGAAGCAAAACATGAAACACTGTTAGCTGGTTTACGCAGTGCCAAACACTTTAGTGCAGAACAACTCCTGATTTTCAGTGATTCTCAGTTGGTTGTCAACCAACTCACTGGGGTCTATGAAACACGAGACGAAAGAATGGCCATGTATGCAGACAGGGCAAGGGATTTACTTAAAAAATTCCAATCCATACGAGTGGAACAAATCAATCGGGATAGAAACAGTCATGCTAATGCTCTGGCCTGCCTCGGCTCATCAGTAGATGCCAAAGATGCTAGAAAAGTTTGGGTTGAGTTTGCGCCAGAATCAAGTATTGCATCCCCAGTCCTCTGCAATAACCTAGAACCGAGCTGGATGGATCCAATACTTGTTTTTCTAAAATCTGGCACTCTTGCCGAAGACAAGAAGGAAGCCAACAAAGTTCGACACAGAGGATCTCACCATCTGGAAAGCTATATCGACACTCTTATCTCGGTCCTTATCTATTATGTGTGCATCCAAATCTAGTCGAAAATGTTCTTTACGAAATTCATGACAGGATTTGTGGATGCCACATTAGCGGAAGGTCATTGGCACACCAAGCCATCACTCATGGGTACTGGTGGCCGTGGATACAGCAAGATGCACAGCGGTACATTCAGAAGTGTGACAAGTGTCAGAGGTTTGCTCCACTGATTCATCAGCCAGCCAAAACTCTTACTCCACTTACTAGCCCTTGGCCTTTTGCCCAGTGGGGTCTGTATATCGTTGGACCTTTGGCATGGGGCACTGGGAATAAATGATTCTTCATCGCTACAACAGACTATTTCACCAAGTGGGTTGAAGTTGAAGCACTAGCAAGCATCAAAGAAGCAAACACAAAGCGATTTGTCTTGAGGAATGTCATGGTCCGTTTCGGCATCCCGTGGGTACTAATTGCAGATAATGAAACACAGTTTGACAGAAAGATCTTTAGGAAATTTTGTGCCGACCTTAAGATCGAGTATTGGAACTCCTCTCCGGGCTACCCACAGAGTAATGGGCAGGCAAAAGCGTCAAACAAAACCATCATCAACGGAGTAAAGAAGCAGCTCGAAAGTGCAAAAGGGAAGTGGGTTGAAGAATTACCCCACGTGTTATAGGCCTACCGAACCACGACACGGCGCTCAACGGGGGAAACACCCTACTCCCTAACTTACGGAATGGAGACTATTATTCCACTTGAGGTTGGTCTCCCAACCCTCTGATCAAAACTATTTGAAGATGCAAGTAATGAGGAGGCTATTGCACAAGCACTGGATATGGCAGAAGGCTTTGAGAAGCAGCACTGATCAGACTTGTCGCCTATCAGCAACAGCTCATCAAGAGTTTCAACCAAAAAGTTTTCCCAAGGCAATTTACACCTGGGGAACTGGTTTTGAGAAAAGTCATGGATCACAAAAGAGTGCCTGGTGAAGGAAAATTAGGACCTAATTGGGAAGGTCCATATAAGGTTAAAGTCACTACTGGAAATAGAGCATACTACTTGGAGGATATCAAGGGCAAGGCCATACCTCGGCCCTAGAATGTAGCAAACCTTAAAAGTACTATCCTATGTTACACGGACTCGGGTGCGGGTATTGGGTGCGGGTACGTATCTAGGGGTCGGGTACTTCAAAATTAAAAATTGAGGACACGTGGATACGGATCCAAACGAGGATACGGGTACGGGGATACGTTAAATATTTAATTTTTAAAATATATTTATTATATAAAGATAAGTTAAATAGTTATTTTTTAAATATATTTATTATTTTTATCTTATGTATTACTTTTATTGATAATTTTTCTGATTTATCTATATAATTTTTTTTTACTTTTAATTGACATATATATTATAATTGACATATATATTATAAATAACAAAAATATAATAAATAAGGAATAACAAATTATGTTAAAATAAATATAAAATAGATAATGTATTTTATAGATTTTATTAATTTTTTATTATATATTATTTAACTAAATTTATTATTATATAATTGATAGGTAGATGGTATCTTTTTTGAATTTTGATTGGTAGGTGAAAAGGTGAAAATTTATTAATTTGTTGGTTGGTGACAACTTTTAAGATGGAAGAAAATGAGTTGTTCTCATATTATATCTTATATCTTCGTATTATATCTTATATCTTCTATTCTATACATATGTATAAGATAAGACAGAGGCGAAAAGGAGAGAGAGAGCGAAGGCGAGAGACGCGATCTGGTCAAAGAGGCGATCGAGTGAGAGACGCGACTGGTTCGAAGGTCATCGAAGTCGACTGCTGCGACTGGTTCAAAGGTCATCGAAGTCGACTGGTTCGAAGTCGCCGATCAGGATCCTCTCGCCGACTAGGTTTCTTTCTCTTCTCCTTTACTCTATGCCTTCTCTTCCATGCCGTATCCACTTCTTCCATGCTGTATCCCGTACCCGTACCCGTGTCGTGTCGTATCGACACGGGTACTTCGCCAAAACTGACAAGTCCGTGTAACGTAGGTACTATCAATAAACTGCACCCCACAATTATCTATCTAGTGTAAAAGCATTTATCTTTTGCTTAATGAAAATTACCCCCCCCCCCCAATTTCTTTGAACTTTTGTTTCCAAGCACCTGTACAGCTTTGTGGTCAGAACAGATTATTGCTTAACTTGGACTTTATAACCCAAGCCCTAGGGGCATATTTCAAAATAAACAAATTTAGCTTTGGTGTTTACCAAACCGAATTAGCTTTGGTGTTTACCAAACAGAATTAGCTTTGGTATTTACCAAACGGATTTAGCTTTGGTTTTAACCAAATGGAAAAAGTTTCGGAACGACCGAACAGAATTTAGTTTTGGTCTGCACTCAAACATACCAAGTGGGATTGCTTGGTGGAGTTATGTTTGGCTACCAAAATGGATCTTAACCAAGTGGAACTGCTTGGTGAAAACTGCCCTAACAAATTTTTTGATGCCCAATTCTTTTTCATGTCAATTACAAAATTTCTTAAGTATCATCACATCAACACCTCAGTACTACTACATCCAAACAAAGTTGGAACAAACTTGGATAAATCCTTCAAAGATCAAACTTTCAACAGTAGTCTTACTCAGCTCCAGGCAGAGGCAAACAATTGTTTTCTTGGTACCAACCTGGACCTGAGTATGACATCTTTCCTCTGCATCTTTTTGTCCCATTCAATGGCACTTATGCTATCAAAATCAACATCAACTTAAGTAGCTCTCCCAGAGAGCGAGTTCTTCAGTACCAATCTTACTTAGCTCCAAGTGGGGGCAAACAATTGTTTTTCTTGAAGTCAACCTGGACCTAAGTAAGTCACTCTCATTCAATTACAAAGATCAATGCAACCATGCAGACCGAGCATCTATTCAGCCCTGTGGACCCAACAATGCTCGGCCGAGGGCAAACAGTATGAACAACGCAAGTATGAAAGCAAAACATATCAGATTGCTATATCAGAAGGAAAATTCTATCAAAGGCACAGCTGGCCTCACAAAACAGCAACAAAAAGAAAGAAAAATTGTCTTGACCAACTTAAGGGGGGCAACTCGTCAGGAAGACCGAGCTCCAGTACAGCAGAAAAGTAAAAAAGGCGAAAAAGCAAAATGAAAAAAGAAAACTTCAAATCAGTCCAAAGGTCACTTCAACTTTCATCAACAGGAGAAATTCCAGGAGTAGCATCCACAATCTTGTCCGGACCATCTTGGGGAGGAAAAGTAGAGGCAGCCCCAACTTCCTAGAAAATAGGAGCCTCCTTAACCACATCTACCACATCTTCAGTTTCCAGGGTATCACCCCCTTTAACGTTCACCGTTTCATTGGCAGCATCGCTCTCCAAAGTCTTGGTTGCAAAATCAGTTCCTGGGGAAATCTTAGCTAGAGGAGTAGCAGGGGCAGCAGCAGCCTTCAGACCCAAGGACTTTGAGGGAATAGGAATATCTTGAAACAAAGGAGACTCTTCAGGAATTTGAGTAGCGGTCAGAGCACGTGTCCAGCCCTTCAAAAAAAGCTTGTCTCACAATACCAACACCTCTTCTTTATAAGCGGCTCCAGCTTCGTCCCAACCTTGCTGCCAGTGCTTAGCCTCCAAAGCTAAACGTTCAGCGGCCATCACCCCAATAACTGCCTCCAGCTCAGCCACTTTCCCTTCAAGTTGAGCCTGGAACCCAATAGCAGCTTCCTTGGACTTCTCAGCCGAAGTGATAACCTTGCTCAGACGAAATACCTCCATCTTAGCAATCCTGCGTCCCTCCTTTTCGGCTTCCAAACTTGTTTTCAACCTCTCAGTAGTCATGGCAGCCTCTAGTACGGCCTTCGCTAGTTCCTCAGCTAGGGTGATGGACAAATGCATCCTCTGGATACACTACGGCAAACAAACAGGAATTAAAAAAAGGAAACGATACAAACCAGTAAAGAACACAAAAAAGAAATGGAGTAGCACTCACAGTAGTCATCATTTGAAGGGTTCCCTTCAAGATTGGAATGTCCCCAGGTCCGTTATGATCTGCCATATTTACTAGCATCAATAGGGTCCTGGTCAAATCAAAAGCAAAGTCTCCAGAAGCAACAATTAAGTCAAAAATAGAAATAGGCCTGCCCTGGTGAAGCATAGGCGACTCCCATTTCTCAAAAGTCTCGTCCTCAATAGGATCCTCAGAGGTCTCTCCAACTATAGCCTTGCCGGTCTCCTACCTCCTCCTCTTCTTTTCCCTTTAAACGATGGAAGCAGCAGGTTCGGTAGCAGCGACAAAAGCGCCAGAGGCCCCTATCTCCAGTTTTACATCCATAAGGCTTTTTGGCTCGGCCTTGACCAGGGGAGCCTGCAGAGCAGAGGAAGAGCCAAAAGCTTCCACCTCCAAGTCTACCAACACCCTTTTCTTCGACATCGACCCTCCCTCTGTGAATCTGGGGGCAGGAGAAGGGGTCCTCTCAACAGATAAACTCCGACCACGATGACGGTTTGTAACTAAGGGGGCAGGAGGTGTGTCAGTTTCAGTATCGGAATCGAGAAGGGATGTAGCAAGCCTTGCTTTTTTCGGGATTGTGGAACGATAAGTCGCTTGATATTCCAACAGTTTAGGGACAGACCTATTCTTGTATCTCAAAACAGCTTTGATCGCCTCAATGTTCTCTCGGTTCGACCTGCGCTGGAAACGAGAAGCCTCTGCAGAGATGAAGAACAACATTAGCACAATATTCAACCAAAACAGAAGTACAAAGACACTGGAACACAAGACTCAGACCTGAGTAGCCATCTTTTTGAGGCATCCGTTCAGATTGGAACTCAGTCCCAGCAGGGAACTCCTAGTTCCCCCCAGCTTGTAGGAAATCATCATTATGTTTGTCAGAGTCGGGCAAACCAGTGACAAGATGGCAATTAGCAGAGCAGACTCGAAGGTAGGAGGAACTATGGTCCTTATTGTGAGAAAGGGTGTAACAACCCAGAATGTCTCATATGTCCAGATTCAAGCCTAATCGTCTATTCAAAGCACACACACCACAGACAACTGGGAACAAATTTACAGACACTGGCATAGTGGTAAGTTGGACTTGATGCAGAAAGCGATGGACTAACGGCTCTAGAGGAAACTGAACGCCTCCTTCAATAATAACAGCGACAGGAAAGGCAGCAGTGTGTCTTGTACCCATGCGCTTGGCGTCAACCTTTGCCAACAAAAGGGTAACGTCGTCAGGGATACCATAATCTCAGCGAAACAAGGCCATGACCTCAAGGGTATCCACCAATGCACGGAATTTACCCATTATCTAGACCTAACAAAGCAAGAACAAAACTCAACTAAACAAGAAACAGAGCTAGTCGCCGGAAACAATGGTGCGTGCAGGAAATTTGTGTTAATGTATATAATAAGATAGTGGCATGTATATAATATGATAGTGGTGTTGGTGGCAGATAGTGGCATGTATATAATATGATAGTGGTAGATAGTGGTAATATATAATATGTAAGTGGCATATAATGGGTTATAATGATGTTTGTAATATTTCCTATATAAGGAGTGTCATTTGGTCTTGTAAGATAAGAAGTTTTGAATATAACAGAAATATATTCCTTCTTCCTCATATTTTCGGAGTTCTTCTTCCTCATATTTTCTAATTGTGCGAATGCCAAGAAAGGCGACCAAGACAAAAAAACGAAAGAAAAAGGAAGCTTCAGAAGAACTTACAGAGGTTCGACGAGGGGATAGCTACAAGAGAAGGTTATTGAGACTAGAACGAGAACGGAAGCAACAATGGCAATAAGTGTCTAGGCAGAGCTCCGTCGTCACCAAGGCAGAAAAACAAAAGAGTTCTGGTTTTCCTTTTGAAGTTTCGGTGGTAGACGAAGGGGTTTGATAGACAAAGGGGTTTGAATTGACACCCTTAGGGCATTTATTACACACAACCAGGGCGAAGAAACAAAATCACGCCTTTCTGTACAGGGTTGGCGCATTATCTCTGCGCGCCAATACAGTGCCGCCACGCGTCACCTTGAAAGGACTCATGCAGGGCACGTGCTAGGATTGAACCATCACCAAGGCCAAATTGGAGCAGATCCGAAGCAACGCGACGCTTGGAGTACAAAGCAGTAGCTCCCCCAAAGGGGAACCTTAGCGCAAGCTAGGGGGCAAATGAAGGGGCTGAATATGAAATGGGTCGTATCCAAGCCTTGGGTCGGCCCAATCTACCGAAGCCTAAATCCAAGTGGTCAAGTGAACATGCGGATAAGCCAATCAAGCCCAATTCCATTATCAACAATCCACCCAAGTCTTCAAGCACTTGGACCCAACCCGCAGTGGAAATGTCAATCTAGCCACGATGTTGGGTTGGGCCGAGCTGCAGGACCTGATCCTTGGACCAAACCGAAGTGGGCCAAGCCCATACAAAGATATTCTACTAGGCCAGCCCACCTCTACAAGCAATCTTGTAGAGGGTTGAGCCAAGGCACAACGGTACCGAGCCGAGGGAACCTCTCAGAGAAACGTGGAAGCTGTGAGTGCATGCATGTGCAAGCTGCCACCTTAGTTGGTCCCCTTCACCTAGAATTACGGAAATGGTTAATCAAGGGAATGTGGTTAGTTATCAGCATAACTACAATGAGTATATACACCCCTTGTCAACTACCAAATGGTCCCCTACCTTAAGCAATGCTAAAGGAAACCTGGTAGCACCAAAGCTCCATGAAACCATCTCGGGCAACAAGTAAGGAGTTCTATATAAACTACACTTACTTCACATTGAAGGCAACTAAGTTGAGCTGAACCATACTCACTTAAACACAACTCTCTACACTTAGAGAGCACTTTCCATCTTCTCCGATCATTTACTTCCACACCGAAAGGGTTATTCGGGCAGCTCTAACGGTGCTCCTTTGTAAGAAATAATGTATAGAGAAAGAGAGAGAATAAATTGTATGTATTATTATTGATTGATATATTGATAGATTACAAGATTCATTAATTACAATTCCTATACAATCTATATATAGAAGAAAATGTGGTAGTAGGTGTAGTGGAGGTGATAGTGGGTTAGGTGAAGTGGAGTGTGTAGTGGAGTAGAGGTAGGTGAAGTGGAGTGTGTAGTGGAGTAGGTGAAGGTAAAGATGGGAAATTCTAACATCCTTGTTGCAGGGTCTCAGTTCCTGGATAGTCCAATCAAGTGCGGAGCTCCAATCCACAATCATCTAGTGCGGTATTCGGTACACACAGTTGACTTGAGGACAAAGTTGCCTGTGGGGTGGGCATCGGGATTCCTTGTGGTTGAGTACAAGCAAATTTCTGTGGTATATAAGAGGTCAAGGTGAAAATGCTACCGAGGTACTAGTTGTTAAACTTTCCTTGTATCAATCTTGTCGGATATTGGATTATCTTGATTGGCAAAGGTGAAGGCCCCAATGCTAGTTCGTGGAGAATGAAGTTTAGTGGAGAAGTTGGCTTCGTGGTTTTGCAGAATTTGATTTAAGGTGAAGAGTTTTGTGAATTGTCTCAAATTCCAATTTGGTTGTATTTCCTTTTATGAATCATTCTTGTGTGTCGAGAACTCAATGTTCCTTGTGCAACTAGGAATTTGGTTTAAGACTACAAAAGGGTCTAGTGTTAGGAAATTGAGTGTGTATAGGATTAATTTTCTATGTGTTCTTTGGGTTTTCTAGGTACCATCTCAAATCTGGTGAGTTTAGGCATGTGGGACTTTTACTCTCGTTGTCTTTCAAATTGGGTATAGTTTTTGAGGAAAACAATGTACACTGTATAGTGGATGTTCTTAATCGTCTTCAACCATGGACATAGCCCTATTGTTGGATGCACTACAAGTGTTTGTGTTCATGTTTATTCTTGAAATTCTATCTTCTTGTGTCTTCCATTTATTACTACAAGCAGGTATCAATGCTTCAACTGGCACAATACCTACAAGTGAGTTCCAATCACATTCTTATCGGCGCAATTATAGAAGAGGGATTCTTTGTCAACATTGAAAGAAAAATCATACAAATGAATGAGGAAGGACTTCCATGCTTAAGAAATTAGGACATCTTGTCATCCTAAATGTAATTGCTTACATGTATTGTAATTGTGTGGCTCCATCAAAGTTAGGGATATTTCCTTCCAACCTGTTGAAGCTTAGGTCCCTGCCACAAAATAACAACACAATTTTCACAAAGCAAAGAACTGTAAGAGATTGATCATAAGAAGAATTACACGAAGTAAAGCACAAGAGGGTAAAGTGCATTTTGAGTCATAAAAAAATGAGAAAAATGTCTGATTTACACGATGATGTTAAGCCATTAACGGTACAAGCAATACATTTTAATCCACAAACCATAGTGGGTAATGTGTTTATTTCCAAATGTTAGAGGGGTAAACTGCACTTGAAGTAAACCATAGGGAGATAAAGTGATATTTAACCTTCCATAGATTCATTTTTATTTTTACAAATTTTAAGCCTCTTTTACTCGAGTACTTCTCTATAGATTTGTAATTTGGTGTTAATTCCTTAGTTTCATCCATTAAAACAATATCATTTGTGAACAACATATACCATGGGATATCATCAAATGTATTTAATTAATTCATCCATGAATAAGGCAAACAAGTAAAGACTCAAAGTTATCCCTTCATGCAGTCCTCAAATGATAGAAAATTCACTAGTTTCTCTTGTAAGTGATCTAATTGTAGTAACAATTTTATCACACCAATATGCATTTGGTTACCTTGTTCTCCAACGCCCACCATCATATTATTTCTCAAGGTACCCTATCGTAACTTTTCTAAATTCATAAAAATATATGTAGAACGAAAAAAAATTCAAATATTAATTACAATATTAATAATTCATTGCTTTACATGAAAATAGTTTCTTTCGAAAAGCGAGGCATTTTATGTTCTATGAATTTTAATTATTTTCAAGATGGAACATTTTACAAATGCAACTAACCCACTCACTCTGTTTTGTAATATAACATCCACTTGGTTCTACTCTTCTTGAGTCATGTATTTGTTAGTGAAGATTTTCTGAAAACTATGTCAATATGATGTATCAAAATTAATGTTAAAAGGGTAAATCACATTTTATGATATTTTCGTTCTTGTTTTAATTTGGTTGTTATAGTTTCAATTACAACACATAATCCCAAAAATCTCAATTTCTATCAAATTGGTCCAACTGTTGCACACAGTTAGGTACTGGGGTGGAAAAAGGTCATGTGACTAGCACATGGAACTACAATAAAGTTGATTGACTGTTATATCCTTATTTGTATAAGATCCAATTCATTTATATGTCGTTTAGGTTGACCAAATCTTGGCTTACACTCATTATCTTAAGTTTTAGATGAAACTACCTTCATTTTTAGTTTCCTTGGTACTTTAGTGTAAGGTTATGGTCGTAATTCTATCCATCAAATTTCTCATCTCTTTTCCTGCTTAAACAATCTGCAAAACCCCGACTCTCTTCCATGATGACCAATAACCAATTAATACACGGCAGCCATAATTATCGACCGTTTGTGATGGCAATAGATGATTAAGTGACCATGATGATGGTAGTGAACAATCAAGTTGTTGCATCAGGTTGATATAAATTTTGTGGTTAGCTACATCAGGTCCCCCTCTTCCCTTCCATTCTTCTACCTTTTGTGTATAAGAATAACAATGGAAGCCCCCCAACCTTAGAATGCTATACTTTCTGGTGATTCTAAATGCACCCCCTTTATTTCTATGCACACCCACTTGTGAGAGCGCAGTTCCAAATGTATATAAAGAGGGTGGGGACAATTAATGTTTAATAGAAGTGGCTACAATTCTATCCTACTTCATTCAAGTAAGAAGATAGCAGAACCCATACACGTATATATCAAACAATATGGAAATTATGTTTAAAAAATTCTGTTTATACAACATTACTCTACGGTCGATACATATAAATACCCCTGAAAAGTCTACGTTCATATTCTTGTACATAAAATTTTGTATGTTCAGGTATGTCATCTCGATTTCATACAAAACACACTCACACACACATATATCTATCTCAAAATAATAAGTTACTAGTAATAGTTCGGGATGTAGTAGTCTGTCATGAAATAAATCTAGAATAAATTAAAAGAATTATGAGAAAGTAGGACTTATCAACTATAAAAGAATAATAAGGGAGTAGGAGACTTACAATACTTTTAAACGAAAACTTGCTAGATAGACTGGGATTGTTCCGGATATATTACAGTTCCTTAACATCCTGCAAAGAAGACCAAATTTATGCAAGTAATGTTGCCGATGAGGTCAAGATTAGCATACTTTATATGATTTTTTTCAATCCTTGGTATGACTCACAATTTTTCCAAGGCTGTCATGTTTTCTAGCTTTGGAAATTCTGAAGCCCCTCCATTCAAGTCTGTAATCCTTCTGCTCACGGATCCCATTAAAAATACTTGCATTCAGAAATATCTATCTTGTTTTAAAAAGCTTAAAAGCATAGTACTAAAATTACTTATTCCAAGAAATATGACCACAAAAATCTGAACTTACATTTCAGTTAAATTAAGCAAGAGAGAAATGTCAGAAGGTATAGGCCCTTCAAACCCACTTGCTTCAAGCTCTCTGCCATGATAGATATCAAATGAGTTAAAATTGCACTATAATTTTTATCTTTTCAAATGTTATTGAATGCTTAAAAAGAAGAAACACTTACAGTATTCTAAGTTGTTTGGAACTCTGGAAACTGGGTAACTTTCCATTGAAATTGTTACTGCTCAACCTACTGCTTTTACCCAAAGTTGAAAACAAAGAAAAGATTGAAAACTACTTAAAGCAGTGGCACGACACAAATTTATAATTATGATACTGCACAAGATTACTAATGAACTTACAGTTCTCTCAAATTTATCAGATTATTGAACTCCTTTGGCAGCTCCCCAGTGAGATTGTTAGAGTTAAAATTGCTACAGTGCCCAAAGGGGGTAACCAACATAAACATATAAATTTGTGATGAATTGCACAATTTGTTGAAAATCTAGGGTTGGATAAAGATATATGGACTATATTGAAGAGGTGATGCAGGACAGGACTCACAGATACAATAAGTCGGTCAAATTCCCGAGCTCTGCTGGAACAGTTCCATTAAACATGTTGCTTTCGAAGCTCCTGAAAATTGAACTTCTTTCAAAATTACGATACAAGTTTATCATTGTAAACTTTGAAAATTTGTTCTTTTCCAACGTTCATAGTTCGTATCCACATGCTTGCAAGACAGAGAGAGAGAGAGAGAGAGAATACACATTGGTGAGACTGGTAATACTTCCCAAAAACTTTGGAATTGTTCCTGATATGCGATTCATAGAAAGATACCTACAGAAGCTTCACTTTGTTAATTTTAGGAAACTGAGGGTGTATAGTGCATCCGCTAAACTAACAGAGAAGTGCATATATTGCTCACATATATTCCAACTTGGTAGAAGCCCATTCAGGGGGAAGAGGACCACTGAGATAGTTGCGAGATAAATCACTGTACACAATAGATGGCACTTTGAACATGATGGAATCATAAAAACTAGTTAACAGATATGAAGAACAAACATAAATTTGGAACTTGGAAGCTCTTCCCACATAATTTTAAGGTAGGGTAACTTCACTATTGATCGTGGTAGGACACCAGAAAGATCCTGCCCTTTGAGAATTCTGTTACAAGGAAACAGAAAGACTTGGATTCAAATTTTGGTTTAGGATACTTTCCAGTATGCCAACGTTACATTCAACCCTTGTAAATGTAGTAGATAAATTCTTCCAGCAATCAATTATTCATTATTGAATTAGAGATTTGTATACCATATACAAGATAGAAAGAGTCATCACCAAGAAAACAAACAATTACAAAATGCAGCAATGTATAGCAGTTAACAACAAATAATTAAAAGCACAAACCATGAAAATCTCCAAGTAATAAGTGTACACACAGAGCCAATGCAAGAGTTTAGAAATGCTAATGTTCAAAGCATCTGTGTGAGGCACCCATATACATATGTAATTAGGTATGTAAATCGGCAGTATGTGCCATGTATGAGTTCAAAATTGAAATGAAAGCCACCTCACGTTCCTACATACTAATTCAGTACAATGTAATAATAAGTCAATGGAGTAGCTGTCTAACTACCAAGGTATTGTCAATCACATAGTGTGAATTTTGCCTTCCCCTTGAATTTGAATGCACCTATTAAACATTTTAGTATTTGAAGTGAAGGTTTACTCAGCTGAAATGGGGTCACCTGACGAAGAATAGAAAACTTACTGATGGAGAGGAAAGGCTTGAAGACATATTTTAGGAGCAAGAGGTGCCAATAGACAGCATAGTAGGAGATTTAGTTTTAGGATTTGTTTCCATTTGATTTATTTCTCATTTTTCTTTAATTTCCTTATTTGGTTACGGTTATGGAACATATATATATGGGATTGTGTAAGGAAGATACTCCCTTTGATTGAATTAACATTGATTGAGTTGAGAGAATTGCAGAAACCCAAGAGTGGTTCTTTGTTTAGTGTTTCATCAAGTTTCCTTATTCATAATTTTGAAATTTCATTCGTAGATTGGCTACAATTTATTCTTGTCACTTTGAAGCTCAAGATGTTAGATTTCCACCTTGAAATACTATGAATACTGTTAGCAGTCATACCAGTTCTATGGAACATCAACGGAAAATGCTATAGATCCCAAATAATCTACCAAATTTTCTACCAAGCCTCTCACATGTTGTGGGACCCAGACAAACCCACATGTGTATGGGTTCCACACCCATGTGAGAGGTTTGGTAGAAGATTTGGTAGATTATTTGTGGTCCCTAGCATAACTCGACATCAAAATATACCCTTGATTTTCCCAACCAGCCTAGCAAATTAGCAATTAGCAATATAATATGAATATATTTTCATGGAAACCATGAAGAGTGCATGGCATAAATAAAAAGTGACAGACCAATAGCGAGCTAGGAACAATAACATAGTTTAAGAAATCCAAAAAACAAACATGCATGATTGATAACATTAGAGGAAAAAAAATTCTTCACTACATAAGTATAACTTCTCATTTTGCTTGGAGAACCCCTGAAAAGAACTTACATTATGCTAGACAATTTGGTAATTGAGTAGCTCACATGATAATTATAGGTTGGTCCCCATGTGAAGGATTTGAACATTTTGATTAAAGTCTCTTTCTACTGCCTACCATCTACACTTTGAAAGATTATAAGCTTGTGACTTCATTGAAAAAACTGTCAAATGAGAGAGCACAGCCCAATGCACAAGGCTCCCACCACTGCAGGGTCTGGAAAGGGTTAAATGTACACAGGCTGCAAGCTTACCCCTACATACGAGAGGCTGTTTCCGTATTTCAAATCCATGACACTAGAGTCACAATGGAGCGTCAAGGCCTACCATTAAATAACTAACAATAACAAATAATTAGGCAAATAAATAATACTCCATATAGCCAAAACCCAAGCGCCTGCATATATGACCAACATATAGGGACATTCGACAAGATATTAAGCCCCAAAAGCAATATGTAGTACGTGAAAATAGCAGCAAAACTGGGAATGGTATTCTTGCTATTATGGTGGATAAAAAGAGAAGTGATGCAAAAAATGTCAACCATGTTGCTGTGGTGTGTCATCTAAATTGGGATCACATCACACACTAGATATGACCTCTTTTTATTGTCTACAGTCTATACAAAGTAGAATTTGAATTTTTAACTGTCATAAAAAAGTTTTAACACATTAGTATTGAAACATCATAGCCAATCACAAATAAAATCTTGAGGGAAAAATGCACTTGAATAATAAGTAAAGATGTATATTTAAAAGCAGAAAAAAGGAGGAGCATACATGGCACTGATGTGACATTCATCAGAAGAAGAGCAGTTGCAGTTGACAGTACTGTTATATATGGGTGTGGGGACTATTGGTGTGTACCAGTTGAAGTTTTCATCACAATAGTTCAGACTCAAATCCCAGTCTTTTTTACCCAATTGTTCAGCTATTTCACCAAGTGCTGCCACTGCAGAAATCAAAACCATGTTGGCTTTTAAAGCAGTAAGAGATAACATGGAGAATATCTATGTATGAACATTAAGTATGGTTGGACATCCTAATATTTACAAATTGAGCCGAAAATCAAGTTCATGCATATGTAAAGAAGGCAAACTTTGTTTAATGGACAAATGTGTTATACACGATAAATAGTCATACATATGGAACCTTTTGATGAGATCATTATGTCAGATCGCTACTAGTCCCAAAAGTTTAAACTCTTAGAAAGTGGACCCAATATGTACATCAAGCTATCTAACAGCATCTCTAACGTAGAGAGACAAACAGACAAACAAACATAGCTCAAGCAAACATACCAAATGGGAAACTAAATGCAAACAAACAGACTTGAACCCAAAACCTCCCAGTAACTAAAGCTCTGATTAGTTTGATACTATGTTAGATCACCACTATTTCCAAAAGCTTTGAATCTGAAAAGCAGTTTTGTCATTGGGAATGGCTCCAGGCCTATAGCCACCAATGAAAAACTAAACAAAAATAATAGCTCCAATGGACTCATATCCAATTTCATCTTCTTGGGTTACAAACAAGTACAAAACTTTGCTCACTTTACTTGAGTAATTTGGGGATGTCTGAGGGGTCCCGTGTTAAGACTTGAAGTGAAGCTCTTCTTCATACTCACAAATCAAAAAATAAAATAACACAGAAAGATGAAATAGAAATGAACAAACTGAAACTATAGAAGGCCTCTTACTTTCATCAGGGGGAATACGCCTAGTTTGTGCTTCAATTCCACATGCTCCAAAGCATATTAGTATGAACAATACAAGCATAAAAGTGCATATGGCTTTCGGATATTCACTAACTGTTACCATCTCTTGTTCTAAATTTGAGTTCTTTAGCATATGGGAAAAGCTATATTCAATATATATGATAATATATAACCCACATGAGAACGCAATCATACAGAATAGTGAACGTATCTATCCTGTATCCTTGATTGGATACATATAATTTTGGACCATCGATTTCATATGCATTTGTCATAGCTGGAAATTGAGCTTCTTTTTTTAAAGTAAAAATTTTTTAAATTTTAATTAATTTTTTATTTTTTTAGATGTACTTTATTTAAATGTATCTAAATAATAAAATATTTTAAAAAATTAATAAATATATAAAAATGTGAAAAATATGAATTTTTGTATTTTTTTAAGGTATTTAGTGAATTTTTAAAGATTTTTTAAAAACTAAAATCAAATAAAATGACCCGGGGGCTTTGACTTGATGCTTATATTTTGGGCACTAATTTTGGGGAGCTTTTATTTGTACACACGTATTACACTCTATGGACATCTTTTTCAATAAATAATTTGTTCGAAAGTAGCATTTCGAAAATAAATAACTTGTTCGGAAGTAAAATTTTGAAAATTACCATTTCTTTCAACAATAGAATTTTGAATTTTTTTTATTTTTTCTACATTCAACTTCCGAATATATTTATTTGAAGTGTGTATAATGTCCATAATAATAATTTCACTTGAAAATAAAATTATAATAAAAATAATTATCATTAAATATACACACAAAGTGAAATGAGTTTGTACAAATAGAAGCTCCCTTGATTTTACATTCATTCGCCAATCCCTTTCTTTTTTGACCATACTGTGCAAAGCCATTCTATTATGGCTGCTCCTTGAGCTTTTTGGTGCAGCCATCGCAATCCTTATATTTATGTGTTTAGTTGAAAGGTTTATGCAGAGATATGAAAAAAAATATATTTTATTTACTTTTTTTTTTTTTTCAATTAATATACTATTAGTTAACTAAAGCATCACAACAACCAATCATTCCTGTTTACCATGACTTGTCAATTATTGCAATCACGTTCCACATGAAGCACATTGAAATCTTCCCGGTAGGTTTTCGACAATATCAGCCTTTGGGAAGTGGGTTGGCTTTTTAGTTTTTTGGCTTTTTTAGCTATTTTAACCTGGGTTAAAAAGCTTGGTTTGGGAAGGACTTTTTGACTTTTTGACTTTTTTGACTTTTTTTGTGAGAGAAGAGTGTAATGATTATGGGTTGGATGTGATGTTTTGTTTGTTGTGGCTAAAATAGCCTATTTTGTCTTTTGTGGCTATTTTAGCCCAACCCAACTTGCCAAACAAAGGCTCAGAGATCTTGAATGAGAATGCCGATATATTTTTACCTCTAATATCGCAAAAAGAAAATGCTTTGACAGAAAAAAGATAAATTAGAATAACAAGTTTATAGGATTTCTAAAGCCAGTCTAGACATTAATTTGTCATGACTGACTTCGTCTAGGAAAGATTGGTCCTATGCTAAGGTTAGTAAGTAGTGGCGGAGCGAGGAAACTAAATTAGGAAAGGTAATTATTAATTACAACTTTAATTTTTTTTTTCCATAACCAACAATAAGAAGATAATAATAATTTTTAAATTAATATTAAGTACAAAAACTTAAATAAATTATTATAAAATATTTCATATAAAATTTTACAATAAATTTTGAGTAAAATCGAAAAGAAAGTATTGCGTGTAACTAGTGTATTATGGACAATGTAAAAAATTCATATATTTAAGTCATAAAATAAATTATATAATGGTAAGATAAATCAAATTTTTACAAAATTTGAGTAAAAATTTCATATAATAGTAATATCACGTCATTATTGATATATGATATCACTAACCAATAGTAAAGCAACATATGAAGAATGAACTCCACATGCCAATATAACTATAGTAAGATTAATTATATTTGCATATCAATAATAATAGATATTACATTTATATTGAAATTTTTTCACAAAATTTCCATACATAAAAATATAATTTGTTGTAGTTACCTCATTTTCAATAAAACAATCACTATTGTTTTCGTAAATTTAAAAATGTCCTTAACATTTTATTCTAAATATTATTTTTGTTTAAAATTTTATTTATATACATATTCTAAAAAAAAAAAAAATCAATCCAGGGGGCACGTGACCCCTTAGTCACCATGTGGCTCCGCCACTGTTAGTAAGGTCTGTGCATAAGGGCCCAAAAATTAGGCCCAAAAAGGCTTCCAAATTCATTGGTTTCGTACTATATTAAAAACTCAAAATGACCCAATTCTGTTTAATTAATTTAGGCTAGTTTAAAGGCTATCAAAAATTCTGTTTGGCCCAATAGATAAAAGGTCCAATTAAAAAATATTTAGGGGAACTTATTGATAAATCTCATACAGAAAGTTCAAAATCCATCTAATTTTAAAACAAAATACTTGCACCAATTAGCTCTATATATTTTTAATTGTTACCAAAAAATTTTATTTTTTTAAAAAAAATTTAAAGACGCTCCTACATCCCACCACCGTCGGACTTCCGTCAGACGGTCATCGAAAACTCGTCGGAATATTCAACATCACCAAAAAGTCGCCGGAATATCAGAAATTCACCGGAGTATTGCCAGAATGTTCTGAACGTCATTGGAAGTCGCCAGAATGTCTAGAATATTCGTTAGACATCAAAAATATCGTTGGAGACTCACTGGAATGTTTAGAATATTGTTGGAAAAAAAAAGAAGAAGAAACTGAGAAATTAAAGTGAAAAAAAATAGCAAAATGTGCTAAATATTGATAAACTGAAAGGAAAAAAAAAAGAACAACAAACAACAAACAACAAACAACAATGAAAAAAAAAATGTTATTTTCAATTTTTGTAAGGTCTAAGCAAATAATTTCTAATATTGATCAAATTGAAAAGTAAAATTTGAAACTATAAAATGTTACAGTTTCAAAGTATGATTCTATTAAATATTTATCCTTATTAATCAAACTAAAAAACATGTTATGAAACTGCAAAATTTTACAGTTCTAAAGAATGATTCAATTCAGCACAAAAAAAAATGAAACTGTAAAATTTTACAACTTTCACTGCTTGTAATTAAAATTCGAAAACAACTTGATCAAAACTTGAAAAGTTTCTCCATTATAGCACGAAAATAGAAGTGTATAGTACCAAAAAAGTATTAAAACTAAGAGATTGAAAGAGACAGATATAGAGAAATGCTTGGACTCCAACAATTATTTTTTGGTTTAGATCTAATCAGATCTAACATATATCTACTCAGATCAATCTGCCCATTTTCTTCGTCGGAAACTCATCTCTTTCGTTGTTGGTGAGCATGAAGTAAGTAGTTGGTGCTCCGTGGTTGCCCATGAACCTCAGTCAATGGTGGTTGCCGGTGGCCGGTGACTGTAGATTAGAAAGAGAAAGAAAAAAGGAAAGGCGTGGTCGTAGTTGTTGAGTTAGAACACAACGGCTATACAAAAGTAAATCTTTACTTAGATGCAAAGATACACTCAAGTATAAAAGAAGACTCTCAAAGATACCTTACCTTTGAAATTACTCACACTCAAGTACTTGACTCCACTCTTAGTTGTTGTGTCTTGTCCTTTCCAAATGTGGTCACTTCCCTTTATACAATCATCCACCTCCTTAATAGATGGTTAGGATCATTTTGATCCAAAAGCTATTATTCTAGAAATCTCTAGAATATTCTAGTATATACTCATACTTTCCAATATTCTAGAACTCTCTAAACTATTCTAGTATATAATAGTACTTTCTATATTTCTCAAATATTCTAGAACCTTCTGGAACCTTCTAGATTTCTCTAGATTTCTACAAGCTTCTCTAATGTTCTGGAATCTTCTACAATGTTCTAGAATCTTCCAGATTTCTTTAGATTTTTCTAGAGTCTTCTAGATCTTTCCGGGGTCTTCTAGATTATTCAACATATGCAATTAATAGCCTAGATAATTCTACAAAAGTCAATGATGACTCTTAACACTCCCTATCAGCATTGACTCCTTTATTTAGTTCTTCTTTTGTAGTTAAGCAGAGTTGCTTCTGAAAGCTCTACAAACTTTGAAGTCCCAAGTCCTTTAGTAAACAAGTCTGCTACTTGGTCATCTGTTTCAATTGATTTCATCTGTATCTCTCTTTGGAGTACCTTTTCTTGAATGAAATGGTAATGTACCTCCACGTGCTTTGTCCTTGCATGAAACACTGGATTATCAACCAAACATATTGCTGACTGATTGTCACAATGCAACGATACTCCAACGTCAACTTGCTAGTGTAGATCCTTCATCAATTGCATAAGCCATGTACTTTCTTGAGCTGTCATTGCTGGTTCTCTATATTCAGCCTCTGTGGTAAATAATGATACTGTAGGTTGTCTCTTACTACACCAAGTGATTGCTCCTGAGCCAATGTTGAACACGTACCTAATAGTCAACCTCCGTATGTCATGATCTCCTGCATAATCGGCATCATAATAGCCAATTACCTTGCATGTTTCGCCTTTCTTGTACAAAAGACCGAAGTCAATTGTACCCTTCACATATCGGAGTATTCAGCGAACTGCTTCTAGATGAGGTTTCTTTGGCTTTTGCATATATCGGCTTACTACACCAACTGCATATGTACTGTATGGCTGAGTGAGGATGAGGTATATCAAACTACCTACTAGTTGCTGATACATAGTTGTATCCTCCAAGTCTTTACTTTTTTCTGAGCATAACTTGGCATTCATCTCCATTGGCATAGAAACTGGCTTGCACTCAAGCATTCCATACTTCTGTAGCAAATTTTTAGCATATTTCTACTCGCAGAGGAATAAGCCTTTGTTGCTTTGTTCTGCTTCAAGCCCAAGAAAATACTTGCGTTCTCCAAGCTCCTTCATTTGAAATCATACTAACAAGTTCTCTTTTGTCCTTTGGATCCCTTCTTTATCATCTCCAGTGATGATTAAGTCATCCACATATACTAGCATTGTAGCTAGTTTCCCACCTTGAAACTTGACAAATAGGCTCGAGTCCACTAGTGCCACTGAGTACTCGTTTTGCACTAGAAATTCTGCTATTTTGCCATACCATGCCCTCAGTGCTTGTTTTAAG